TCACTGATAAGATTATTTTTTTAATGGCAACAGTGAATGCCAGGATATCTGCATCCAGGTAGACCTTCTGCCCTGCCTGTCTCCTGCTTAGATGAGCGTCTGTTGAGGGTTGCTCCACCAGGCCGTGCACAGGGCTATCAGCTCCAAAGCCAAGAGTCTCGGAGTCCAGGCACCACTCTGCCAGCCTTGCTGAACTGCCTCTGACATTGGTGCCTTTACCAGTTATTTACGGAGTCTTACTCTGTGCCAGGCACTGATCTAGGGGCTTAGGAAAGACCAGGAAACAGGAAGGACGCAAATCCCTGCCCTCAAGGAACCTATATATGTTATTATATAACATATTACAAGTTAATACTTGCTAAGGAGAAAACTAAATCACAGAAGTACTGGTGGCAGGGGATGGGCAGAGATTTTAAATACTTTGGCTAGAGAAAGACCCACAGGGAAGATCATATTTGGGTGAAGTTAAAAAGGAGATGAGGGAGCGAGCTCTGCAGGTGTCTCAGAGAATCCAGTGAAGAAGCAACTTCCTCAGGTTAGGAGACTTCTCTGACCGATTTGATGGAGGGAACTTTGTGGTCATGCTGTACACAGGAGCTACAGTGAACAGGGAACAGGTGGCAGGGCTGTTTTCAGGGATCAGCATGCCCAGCCTCCCAACAGACAGTGGAAATGGATAAGGTTGGAAAAGGTGGGGAGGTAAACCCTGTCTGCTGTGCAAAGTTGCTGTGGGCTCTGGAGTCCACTCTCCTGGCCAACACCAGCCTGAGTCAGGAACCCACAGAGCTAATGGCCCACCTTGGTCACCACCTCACCTCACTTTCTCCTTGGCATCATTAAAGCTCTCAGCCACATAATACAGGGGCTGGAACTCCGTGACGTTGTACTCCTGGACGGCTGTCTTCTCCAGCTCCAGGGGGAGGAGTTTTGGCTTGTCCGATAAGCAGTACTGCAGGCCCCAAGTAAAAAGATTTCACAGTTAAATCAGGATCGGTGGTCCCTGCTGCAGCCCATAGGCCACTTGTGCACCTGTCTCATCTCACCCTGATTCCATCACACCCCAGCCCAAATGCAGTAAATGAAAGGATTTTGCATACACTGGTTCTACCCTTCATGGCTCGTCTAAAATACATAGCCAAGATAGAAAAGAATAATTTGTTCCAACCACTTTCAGGTAGGGTGATTAACAAACAGTATGGGAGCCAACCACATTTTTTGGCATGTGTTTTAGTACATACGATGTTGTATGCACACTTTGTTCAACCTTGGGATCAGGAGGCCCCTTCTCCCTAGAGACCTGTGCACTTGCAGTTCAGTTTCTACCTCTAACACCCACAGCCATGATCAAATTATAACTGCTAAGGTACCAAACACTGGAGGATGAGACCCCCGGTCGCAACTCAAAATGAATATAAATGGGTTTTAAACAATACCAAGAGAACAAGAACGGTCTCCTGCACCTACCACTGTCAAATCCATCCTTGTTAGGGTCATACCTGTAATTCACCAAAGGATGACAGAAGCCCAGCACCATATGCCTTTATGGAGTCTCCTTGTTTGCAGAGCCCAAACTCCACAGTAAACCAGTAGATCTGGAATGGAAAGCCAAACTGAGAGCACACCCCAAGGAAGGGGAAGGCAGCAGACCTGAGGGCCAGGGACAGGATGCCCTGGTGGGAGTCTGTGCAGGTCTGTTCTTTGAATCAGTGTGATGTGGGATCACTTCTCCATGTTCTGTGTCTCTCCCTATCCAGCCACCTGTTGAATCAAGAGTTGGCTGAGTATAAAGTGTGATGGGAAGCACTGGGGAATACTGAGGATACCCCAAAAGGATACCCCAGCAAGTTCCTCTCCCTATGACAGGAACTCCTTCCTCCCTTTTGCTTTTTTCTCTGTGGCATCAAGTAGAGTGAAATGATCCTAAGATGCTCTTAAGTCAGTAGGGCTCGTGAATTGTTCCTAAGATGCTCTTAAGTCGGTAGGGCTCATTGGGCAATTCAATAAGCACGCAGTGGGAGGTAGGGGATTAGGTAGTGATAGAACCAATGAGGGGAGCATCCCATCATCCACGCTAAAACTGTGGGTGTTTCTGAGGTCAGTCACTACACTTACATCCCCAAATAACCAAGTCCTTTTCTTTTAACAGCTTTCAGTCCAACATGTCCTTGATACCTGGCCCGGGAAAGAGAATCCTGGGGTTTTGGGACCAAGAGGAATCCAGGGCTCAGTTAGCTGCTGGAGATAGTCACAATTGTGGAGAATGAGGGGTGGGTTAGTAGTTAAGTTTGTTAATTGGACTAGAGAATGGTAAACCTGGCAAGGCTGTCAGAGCTCAGTCTGACCTCCTCCCAACAGATGAGGAGTCTTCAGCCAGGGAGGCACACCATGTCTATAGTTACACAGTAAATTTAGGACACAGGAAGAATCCAGGACTGTTCCCAGCCTAGTGTGTCAATAACAGGATTTTTAAAGTAGAAGTTAGGTTGGTGATGGGTCCTTTTATCATTGTTACAGTGAGGAATCACAGTGTATTTTCTTTGTGCAAGTGAGACATTTTATCCAGCTCTGCAGCTTCTTTGAAAGCTGCTTCTTGCATCTCTGCAGCATCTGACATTTTAAAATTCATGTTCACACAAGTTTAACTCTTTAGACCCTCATGATGTACTTTTGAGATGGGCAGAATATAAACTATCGTATCCATTTGTGGAGATGAAGAAGCAAAATCTACTTGCCCAGAGTCTCAGAGCAGCTGGCCGCTGAGGAAAAACTTCCTAGGAGTTTCTAGCCTGTCTAATGAGTTGAATTTATAAATTTCTAATTTTCCAGTGAGTATTTCCTCTGATGCATTTTAGTGAGAGGTTTGCATTCGTCTGTGGTCCCTAATTCTGTTATAAATTTTTATTTTTCAATTTTCAGATTGGGCACATTATAAGAAATGTGGCTTAGCTGGGCATATTATATAAGCTGGGCACAGTATGTAGAAACGTGGCTGGGAAGAGATGTGCTGAAGTTGGTCATGAGTGTAAAGAAAGGAAATCACCTGCAGTGAAGAGTTGCTGCTTCTGTAGCTTCAATGGATGAGAGTCATCAGATATACTTGGGAGAGAAAAGTGTTCAGCAAGAATGGAATAGTCCTTCCCCATTTCTACCTTGTGTTTGAGAAAGGAAAGATCCCATCGCTGGCTCCAGTGCAAAGGCAGAGACGTAAATATTCCCTCTTCAAAGTTGTGAATCCACATTACTTTACACACACACTTTATATCCAAGGGTTTTTGAGGGGTATTTTACAGTTGGTGCTTTCAAGACACTCTGTTTAAAATCATGTATAAACATCTGCATGCGGCTGATTTCAAAATCAAACCATTAGGAGTTTCCCTTGTGCAAATGTAACCCACCACATTCTGGTTTTTTTCCCCAAATGATCTGGCTTTAAGGGGAGGAGCAGCACTTCAAAGATCTGGGGCCATTAGGCTGCATGGCATTCCCACCATCGACCTGGGGAGGGAAGGGACTTACTGTGGCGAGTTTCTCAATGTACTCATCAGGTGCACCCAGAGAGGCAAGGCCAATTTCCTGTAATTGTGGAGAAACAGAGTCAACGACACAGCTAGGGTTTTCCCATCTTCAACATCTACCCTCAGTACCAAGCTGGTACTTGACCACAGGAAAGTGATGGGTGGCCAGATGACTTTAGAAGGGCCCACAAGTCACCCCTGGCTACACATCATAGAATCAAAGATCTGGGTGGGGGGGGGAAGGGAGGAGGGAGAGAGGTTTTGGTGATGGGACACAATAACTAACTACATTGTATATTGACAAAATAAAAATTAAAAAAAAAGAATTTTGTAAAAAAATAATATTAATAAATAAATAAAATTTAAAAAATTTTTTTAAAAAAGATCTCTAGAGCAGGGAAAACCTTTTACCACCACTCGGTCCTTTGTGTTCACTTTACTGATGAGGAAACTGAAGCACAGAGAAGGGAGGTGACCTGCTCATGGTCACATAGTCGGTTAGTGTCTAAAGATTCATTTCTTGACTCCAGCTTAGTGATTATTCTCCAATAGCACAAATATATGGGAGTATTAGATAGAGTATTGGATGTCTTAATCATCTACCCTGAAAACACCACAGGAGAACTGCAGAGAAGTGATTGACACCCATCCACCAGGCACATACATAGCTGGAGAGTCTGAAATGTCATGAGTCACTTCTCATCACAGCTCCAATTGCAGTATTCCTCTAGTGGTCTCTTTGTCTTTTGTACAGCATTTGCTGTAGCCTTCCCATGTGTGTGTGTATGTTTTTGTGTGTGTCTTCTCTACTATATGCATTCATTCATTCCAAAAATATTTATTGAGTGCTTTTTATGTACCAGGCAGTGTACCAAAGATCCTTGACCACGTGGTTTACAGTGGAGACAAACAATAAATAATAAGCATACACATAGGTATGCTAGAAGTTGATATGTTCTTTGGAAAGAGAAACAAAAGGAGAAAGGGACAAGGGAGATCGGGAGTTTCAGAGCATCCTGGGGAGGCTTCAGTTTTAAATAGGGTTCCAGGGTAAGCATCACTGAGAAAGTGATACTTGAGCAAAGACTTGAGGGAGGTGAGGTAGTTGGTTCTACTGACATCTGAGGGAAGTGCATTGTAGACCAGGCATACAGCCAGGGTAAAAGCTCCCTATGGAAAGGAAATGGTGGTTGGTTCAAGGAATAGTTAGGAATGAGTGGGGTAAAAGAAAAAGGAGTCGATAATGTCCGCAAGTGCTTTTGGTTAGAGTAACTGGAAGGGTGAAGTTGCCATGAATTGTAGGTGCCCCAGAGCCATCATTCAACTCTCCCATGGTCCCAGCTACCCAACCTTTGTTTTAGGTTGCCTCTCAGTGCCTGGAGAGCAGTAGAATTTTTCCACTCATCCAAAAGCAAGTTTTTGAGTTTGCTCACCACTGTGAAAGATGAGTCAAGGTCTAGGTTGCTGCTCTGATGATGATGGTGAGACATCTGGCTCATTTTTTGAATTAGCATTGGATTCTTGGCAAATATCAGATTATTTAATTCAAGCATACATGCAAATGACTTTGCCCACTAGAAAGTGGCAAAGGTCCTAGAGGGAGTGGGGGAAAGTAGTCGGAGAACTTGGAAGATGATGAGGTGACTTCTGCATGGGAATCGGGGAGATTTTCATGGATTAAAAAGGCTCTTTAACTACACCTGGTAGGACAAGTGTGATTGGCAAAATTCAACAACACACGGGATTCAGAGGATGAGCAATTCACCACCCCATGCTGTGGTCCCTAGAATGGGTATTTAGCTAGCGCCACAGAACCACACACCTGCCTCATATATGATCATAGTACTATACCCGGTTCTCACTCTTGTAGAGGGTGTGATTGTCCTCCATGGGCTC